GAAGGCTACATTGGGAAAAGTAGGTGAGTTAAAACAAAAAGTATTAATAACAATTTCTGGTTAAAAAACCTAGTATGGCAAGGCCCAGCTGAGAACAAGACTCAAACTCCTCAGGACGAAGGGGCAGTGTGATCACCTGACAGATGGGCACCATCTAAAATTTTATCCCTCTCGACAGGAGAGGTTGTTCAGGCCTTCACCATCTCACCCCATGACAAGAGTTGGCTGAAGAGGGTGCAATAAGGTTAAGGAAAAGGAGGGTATGCAACAGTTTACAGGTGTCTCTTTCCAGAAATTTGTCTTTCTACACCCATACATTCTGGAACTGCAGTCTCTTGGAATCAGTGCTATGGAAAGAGCAACACCTTGTGTGCGGAGGAGCAGGTAGAGAAATGAATGCTGATGGCAGTAGGGAAAAGCATCTTATAGTACCACAGCCTTACCATTTGACATCAACTTGAAAGGTTGTACACCCACTCTCGCATTTCCTCCAGGCCCTGACACTTTAACTGTTTCATGTATAAACTTTTCAGGGACCAGACATGAGGAGAATCATTAACTTAAAATCTTCCAAAGCAATTTAGGAGTAGAACCCTGTTAAGTTATAGAATCACCACTGGGAGATGCAAAGGGGATGACAGAACTTGAGGAGTAAGGAGATCTCTTCAATTTCTAACAGGAGCTCAAAAGGAGAAACAGACCCCATTGCCTAACTCCCAGAAAATAGGTTAAATCTCTATGCAACTAGGGCTAGGCAAAGCTTTCTACCTCTGACTCTACTGCCCACACCAACTCTCTTCCTTTCCCAATTTGGCTTTTTCCAGCTACGTAATGCAAAAGAGAAAGAGAAGGAAAGAGACTAGACTTTGATTAGTACAAATACTGTAAAAGCCCTACCCTTGTAACATTTATTAAAAGACATCACCACCACAACAAAAAGGGAAAAAACCCCAAAGCGACGAATTCCAGTGTTGACTTCCTAGTGCCATTTCTGGAGCAAGATACTTTTGGTTTTGAAAGCATTGCTCCTGCCTCGGGTCCTGAAGAGGACCCTGGTCATGGAAGGTTCCCCTTTTTGAGGGAAGGGAACAGGGAACTGAGTGTTGAAAAACAAATCTTCAGGGGACCACAACTGGAACTGGGCCATACCCTTGCCTGTTGACCTATCTGAAAGTACCTGGTCCTGGAGAATTGTCTTGGACGAGCTCATCTTCTAACTACCATGTTGAGTGATCAAATTAAAAAAACTGATCGTCATAAAAGACAAAGCCTATCTCACCTGTTTTCCTTTGTGTTCCTTTCTAGAAGATTCTTGCAAATAAAATCAAACTTTTTTTTTTAATCCTCGCCACCCCCCCAACCTCGTGCTCTTTTCAACTTCTTCCCTTTATGTGTTGTCTTGAACTTTTTAGGCTGTAAGGTCTTTGAGGGCAGGGACTTCTGGTTTTATTTGCATTTTATCCCCATCGGTTGGCACAATGCCTGACATACAGTACATATTTAAGTAAATGCTACTGCCTAACAAATTTTAAAGCCTTATTAGCCTCTGTGCCTTTTTCCTCAGATGGCCTAATTCCAAGGTAGGTATACAAAAAAGTTAAACTGGCTCACCTCTGACATTTACTTGATTATTTGCTTATCCCATTCCTTGACTAGATCAAGCGGCTATCTGAGAGCTGCAGAAGGCCGCTGCCTGTTTGGAGATGTCCTCTATACCAACTAACACTGTGACCTTCAGAATCAGTATTTCCTAACACCACAGTTCTCTCCACCAAAGCAGATCATGGCCCCACTTCTCCTCATACCTTAGCAGATAGTTTTTGTGGGCTGCTATGGTCAAAAAGGAAAACCATTTGGTGGTCAGCCCTCTGATGATGAGGTGTCTAGGTCTTTTCACAGACCCGATTCTTCCAAATTAGAAAGCTCTGGAAACCAGCATTTCTGATATCTATGTGCTCCCCTTGCTATCACCATCTTTATCTCAAAAGAGATATTTAATCTAGTAAAAGGGACCAAAGCTGGTACTAACTGGATTCTATGCCAAAGTAGCCAAAATCCAAAGGTAGTCAGAGATAAAGACAGTTTCTAGTAATGAAATCCTCTCTGCTCTGGGAAAATGAAACCTGATCTTGTCACATATATAGGTCTCAGTGTGCAAGCTCAGTCTGCACAACAGCCACCTCACTTCTTGATAAGCGTGCCTCCAGAAGCCAGGAACTGCCAGCTCAGTCTGCCTCAGTCAATTCCAATAGTGAATTTCAAAGAGGTCTTAGGCAGATGCTTCACCATGGCATGGAGGTGATCCCAAAGGCATTGCTAACAAAACGTAAACTCGGGCAGTTCTCCCAGGTCGGTAAGGTTTTAAGGATGGCCCCAGGTTTGGAACAGACAAAGCTTATTTTCTGAGGACCAGCCTAGGAATAGAGAGGCACAGCAGCCATAGGCTGGCCAACAAAGCTGTTTCTGGCCACAGCAACCCACAAAACAGGTAAAATTTAAAATGGCCCTTCAGCCCAGTCCTTAAGACTTAGTTTTCAGACCATCAAACAAACATCTTCAAAACAATGGTACACTTTAGAGGTCTACATTATTTCTAATACCTTATCGCAATGGTCTTTTGTGAAACTGGCAAAACCACAGCTACTGGAACATACTGGTGGGTCATCTTTCGGTGGTAAGGTACCTTTCAGTGTTGGGTCTGCTAAGACCTCCACTACTGAGTCCTTCAAGGTCACTGTTTCATGTAAATGTGGCATTCCCCAGAACCTTTAAGCTCTAGTTGGACCTCCTCTGGTGGAGGGAGAAAGCCACGGGACTGGAGTCAGAGCCCCTGGGTTCAAGTCATGCCCCTGCCCCTGACTGTCTAGGTGACTATGGGCAAGTCACTCTGCATTCTGGGCCCTCCATTCCTTTCATAACCTCTAAAAGGAGCGACTGGGCAAGAGGGTCTCTAAGACTCCTTTCAGGTCTGAACAGGCTCTAAAAACCTATGATATTACTATGCTCTTATTAGCTCCTCCAAGAGACAAACCCAGAAGTCCCATCCACCAGAACAGTTGTTGTGGAGCAGCCCCTCGAAAACTGGGAGAAGATGGTGTACACATGGCCAGAGGTACCAAAGACATCTAAAGCCGAGTCACTATTCCCCTTCATGCTCTATATGGAGTGCGCTACAAGAAACTCTGTATGTTTGCCTACGTTCCTATCAGACCTTCTCTTCTGAATTCTAAAGCAATCCTGAGTCACGACTATATTTTCTACAAGGAGATATTGGTTTGAGTTTTCACATATAGATATAAAAAGTGGCTGCTTCTTTTAACCAATGGTGCCATTGAATGTAATCCATTATTTTTTCTAATCTAGGGCAGCTTCTCAAGAACAATCTAGGATGGTTCAAAATGACTCACCTACATAGCAGCTATAGAACTACCACTCTAAATTCATATTATGTCCCTTTATAAAACAATAGGTAGGAATATAATAAAGGAAATCACGTTAAGCAGAAGGGGCCACATAACTCATAAGACTGACAGAAAAACTCAGAGCTTTGGGCTTTGTAGGGTTTCTCCTGATGCTAAGAATGAAGCCTTGCAGGCAGCTCCTGGTGGACATCAGGAGGAACTGCTCTCACCACTGGTCTCTAGTCAATAACATTAGTCTCTAGCAAAAAGATCTGTTCTGGAAGCTGACTTTCTGCAGCTCCAAATACAGTCACAGCATGGTTAGTCTTGTTAGTTTCGTCTCTTTCTAAGCAGTGGCCTGCCTAACCACTGGGTAGTAGTGTCTTAACATTTTCAAGAAAGGCAGCAGAACAAGAAATGAACCTTACCATTTACACCTATTATTGGTGCTGAATGACGGCATTTCAGAAAAATTTCTACTAGACTCAAATGCCCAATGAAAACAAAATAGCTTTACAAGACTGAAAAAATGCAACAACCCACCTTATTTCTCAGTAAAACAGCAGTCTCACATCCTACCAACATTAGTCAGCCAACAATGCATGTCCTGAGTTCCTCCCCTAACCACACTATGACATCAGCTTGACACATCTGTAAACCATCTTTCACAGAAGAAATTCAAATCCTAAAGATCAAGGCCAGGGAGGAAACTGCTTCCCATGTTGGCCTTCTTTAAAAATACTCCCTCTCTGAAAGACATTTTGGTAAAGGAAAACAGAATCCCTTGATATGGGTGGGATTATGAGATGTGTTACTGAGAAAACAAACCAGATATAGAAGAGAATGGGAAGAAGAAAAAAAACTGGAGAATCTAAACAATTTGGGAGAGTATTGCCCCTAGGAACTGCCTAATCAAATAACCATCAGGCTCAAGTCTGAGTCTGAAATCCCTAAGGTCTCTAGGAAGGATAGTTGGAAAGAAGTACATTTGCTGAGTGTGCTATCTGAGGACATTTTGGTTGCTCCGGGTTTATCTTGGTTACTCTAGAGTCAATACTACTGAGGGTAACAATGAAAGCATTCCTGAGGAAGCCTCTACTATAGATCTGCAAAATATGGAAGTCTAAATAGGAGAGAGTCAGGAGAGAGGGGCCTAAGTATGGTTGGGCACTCAGGAGGATGGTCTTGCAGCCCCCATGTTGAAAGCTGGAAGTGGTAAACTTAGAGTTAGCAGGAAGGGCATCTACTCCCCTTCTCTGTACACAGCCCCTTCAGTGGGACAGTGGTAGGTCTCAGCCGCAAGATGTCAGGTCAGACAGGTACCATCTTATTGAGTGTTTCCTTTTCTTGAGAATTCTCCAAGGTCAGACAATATCTGAAGCTCACCAGGAACACAGGCTTTAGCCTGAGCAGCCTATGGGGAAGTGAATTCTTCACAGTCTATCTATAGAGTGAGTATAACTGTATGGTACACAAGGCTACATTGAGCACATCAACTACCTGAATCACAGAATCACACATGCAAAGGGAAAACTACTAAGTAACCAACCCCTGAAAAGAAATTTCTTTGTTTCGGTCTTTTTTTATTTCCCACCCCGCCCACCCAATCAACCTGATCTTCTCTTCAGCTCTACCAGGTTCTCCTGGGACAGAATCCTGTTTCTCTACATTTCTGCGTTGGTGGTTCCATCACAGATCACCAAGGGCTCTGTTCCTCTTGGTCCAACACTTATCTTCCAGTAATCCATACTGGCATAACCTTTGGGAGCAAATGACAACAGCAGATCATATTTTTATTTGTTGGCTCAAAGATGGGTACAACATCAAAATCAAACTAAAAAAGCCAGTAGTCAACACTGAGTGATCCTCCAGCACATTATAAGATATTGCTTCTGAGTCTATTTTGATTTAAATAAGCACAGCACGTGTAGAAATTATTTACTGACCCATAGTTGCTTGCAGCATCATGCAGAGCCCTGAATTTCCTGTTAGAATTTACAAAGTAGAATGGGCTGGTTCAAGAGGTAGCGGCATTTTTCTCAAAAGAGGTCTTCAAGTAAAATCTGGGCAACTTCTTATCAGATATGATGCTATAGAAAGGAAGCCTATTCAGGTATAAGTTGGACTGGATGGCCTCTAGGTCCTTTGCAACTCTGAGATTCTATATGACTCTGATTCTGGATCAGAAGAGTTCAAGTTTCAGCTGTGACAATGACAAGTTCTATGACTTTGGGCAAGGTTATTATTTGGGCCTCTATATAAATAAGGGTTAAAATCTCTGACCTTCCTACCTCATAGGGTTGTAATCAAATGAGTTAATGGGAAATCACTATGTAAATATTAATCTGTTATTATTATATGTTCTCAAATTCAACAACCTTTTAAACTAAAATATTTAATTACAATTAATCCATGTAAAGAGGAAACTACAAATATAGTCATTTGAGAGAAGCCTGTTTAGAGTAATCATGGATCTATAATTTATAATCATAGGATTTATAAATGGAAGAATGTTTGAGATCATCTACTTCTACTCCCTCATTTTACAGGTAAGAAAACTGAGGCCTAGAGAGGTTAAGAGTCCATTCCTTTCCTTTTCGGGAATCTTTGTGGCTTCTTGTGAATTTAGGAAACATTCTCCACATGAGGTGTAATAATATCTTTTGTATGAAGTGCTATGAATTCTCAGAACATAAAGATATTACATTCAAATATATTAAGGTACAAAAATGATAATATTCCAAATCCAAATAAACCTAAAGGTCATTTTCAGTGTGGAGAAAATAAGTTTAAAAACTTGAAATCTCCTATATCTAGGTCCTTTCTAGTAGTCCCTGGTTATCTATATCACACCTATGCCATTTTTTTCCCCCACTGGAGATTCCTGACCCAGTGTCACTGGCAAACATCAGTCCAATCAATGTTCATACTGTGTTGTCATTGTCATGGTTTAATTTTTAAATCTGAAATAAAATTTGGAATGTGATTAGATTGTGTGCACTTTAAATTTTCCCTGACAATGGTAATGTGATAATGTGAAAGAGAAATTTCTCCTTAATCCCATCCTTCCAACAGAATCACAGGATCTCAGAGTTAGAAGTTAAAATAGAATTCAGAGAGATACCTAAACAGGTAAAATGTGTGTGACAAGACCTCAAGTGAAGAGAGGAATCCCACACCAACAAAAAGACAATGATAGACGATCCAAAAAACCAAAAAGAAAATAACAACAGGGTCAGTCAACAGTGTAACTGACATTGGGTGCTTTTTGTGCAATTAGACATCTGGATTACATTTATTCTGTAATGACTGTCCTAAAAAAAAAAGCTGCATCTCTTTCCTCTCCCTTCCCCTCCCCATCAATTAAAACTCACGGACCTATCCCCTCCCCACACTCCTCCCAGCACAAAATATGTTCCCTCCCCAAATAATTTTAAGCAAAACTGCCTAAAAGAATAAATAAGTAAGACTCAATGATCTTCCCACAGAGCTTGATACATACCAACGTCCCCTGGCTCCAGCTGCATCACCACAGTATTACAGTGCCTTCTGCACTCCATAGGAGGAGTGAGGTACATGATACCCTCACCACTGCCGATGACAAAGAGGTCGTGAACCACACGCATCTGCAAAAGGAGAACACGGTATAAGGGAAACAAAGAGGGTCAAGGTCCCTTGACCAACTTGAATGCTACTCGATTAAGAGTTAGGTACTGAAAATGAAAGATGCGATTCTTCTACCTAGGAGGACATTATAATCTGGTTGAAGAGAAAGAGGCAGCACTGCACAGTGAAAAAAACACTGGGCTTGGGAGTTGGGAGTGATCTGGGTTTGAATTCTAGCTAAGACTTAATAGCTTCGTAATCACGGGCAAGTGCTTACCTTTCTGAACTTTGGTTTCCTTATGGAAACTGAGAATAAAAATCCTTGCTCTCCAGGTTACTGTACTATAGAAATGTTACATAATCAAAACTCACTGTATAACCTGAGCCTCAGTCTCAGAATCTGTAAAACAGGGGATATTTATGCTACCTAACTCATAGGTACTACTGTGGAAAGAACACTGACTCTAGCATTGTAGGATATGGGTTCAAATCCTACTTCTGATATTCACTATCTATGTGACCTTGGGCAAGTCGCTGAACCACTATGAACCTTAGTCTCCTTATCTATAAAATGACAGGGGGCTGGGGGGGGGTGGTTGGACTAGCTGACCTGAGGTCCCATACAACTTTAGATCTATAAGCCATTAATATACAGTGCTATAGAAAAATACGACCAATGATCATGGTAAGACACTAAGAACAAATACAATAGAACCTCACTTACTTAGCTCCTACTTTTTTGGATATCTGGAACAACAGGGCAGGAGCCATTGACTTGTGGTTCCCATCCATCATCCCCTCTCCACAGCCATGGGCCTCAGCTCCTGCCCTGTTTACCACCACCACGACCACGACCACGACCACGACCACCAATACTAAAGCTGCCTGCTATAAGCTTGGCCAAAAAATCCCATTCCTACTGCTGTTGCCAGGGCAACATTAGGAACAATGGGTGCAATTATAGCAGCAAAGGCTGAAGCTAGCAATGATCAGGGACAGGAAGCAGTCTGGGAGCAGGGCTGGCACCAGAGCCCAGGGCAGTAGGGACAGGAAGATAAGGAGAAGTACACTGGGACAAGAGCTGGGAAAAAAGGACCAGGGTGGGGAACATAGGAATTATCTGCTATATAGAGAAACAGACTATATTTAGAATGTTTGCCTTTTAGGTCACTCCTCTTAGATTACTTCGCTTAGTAATTTAACAGGCAAGATTCTGTGATAGCTGAGTGGAATGTTATGAAGGCCCTCTGTTATCTACAGGGATTCTGCAGTCTTTTATTAAGCAAGCAATTTCTAGCACTTACTCTGAGTTCCACACAATGTGCAAACAGAAACTGGTACTGGATTAAGTATTCCTAGGGTTCCTCTCTCCCCTTCCTGGCCCTATTCATACCACCACCTTTTCTGCTCATCAACTCTATCATTCATCATTAATTTTTAACTCTGCTTTTCAATATCATGCACTGGAATGTGTTCCTTCTCAGCACTCAGTCAGGTTTCTCAGTATCCTTACAAGGCAGGTTGGTGTGATTAACCTTAATCACTCATCCAGAAATCCACAGTAATTATGGAGATGAATTTATTATGCTCGATCGAGTCCTAAGTTCTAGCCTGAAGTAGCCAAATGGACTCTTTTTAAAGCCCTGGCAAGAGCTCAGCATCGCTGTCTATTCTACTACTAGACAAAGAGAGGGACCCTACTTTTTCACAAGCTTTTAACCCCTCACCTGGTGAGGACGGTAAGCAAGCACCTTATCCACAGTGAGTTCTCCCCTCAATAATGGCTGTAGGGGATGGGCTGGAAGGAGGTCTGGGTGCTATTCCCAAGGCTCTTGGGCTCAGGGTCCTAAGATATCTCCTTTGGGGATTGGAGGGGGGCGCAGGTGGAATTTAAGGGGAAATGGTGTTCAAGGTAGTAGTGTTTTGATTTGTGTGGCACATGATGGCTCCTCTCCCCCTCAGGGAACCTTGCTGCTGGCCTGCCTGCCTTGTGGGTAGCAACTGATGGCTGGCCACTTCTTACCAAGAATTAACATGGGTAGGAGAATATCAGGCACTGACAAGACAACTGGGAGATATTCTTAGGCAGATCAAACTCAAACCATACATAGCAAACGTGTCTTTAGTTCACACTTTAATGCTGCTAGCTTTGAAGTGGGCAGAAGAAAAGATTCCTTCTTTATTCACATATTCAGCTCTTCCACATTAATGAACTCAAATGAATATGACCAAATGATAATGACCAAACAGAAAATGTCAGCAAGAATGTAATCCTCAGAAAAGATGTTATTAGAATCTGTATCAATGAAACCCAATTTATAGCAAAGAACCATCCTCCCTGACCCAATATATAAAAGAGACTTTTACACTTCTCAGAGAGTGGTATGCTTTGCTTCTCAAAATCCAAAGTTTCTTTCAAGCCTCTACATGAGGCTTCTTTTCATCTTGCAGCTGATGGGATCTCTCTCCCAAAACAATAACTTTCTATTTTTCTCTGACAGAGTTAGCTCCTTAGAGGGAAGGATCATTTTGCATTTTTTTCTTCGTATTCTCTGGCACATAGTAGACCTGTAATAAATGCTTACTGTTTGATTGACTTCTCACCTTACTCCCTAGTACAGGTGGTTGGTGGGCGACAAAGCAGCTTTTCAAGGAGGCATGTTTGGGAAATGGCAAGGAATCGAACATAGGGAAAAGCTGATGTAGAATGTTTGTTCTATTCAGAGGTTTGCTCCTGTGAAATAACAGACAGAAAAAAAGGTCACACTGAGGGAGTGGAACCATTGCCATTGTCTAGAAAGCAAAATAAGAATGGAATAATATAGGGTGGGGTGGGTGGAAAAATAACTGGGCTTATCTTTTAAATCCATTCCATTAAAAAGAACCAGGATAAATTATTTAACAAACATAACACAAAGACACCCCACAACCACAATTTGTGTAAGTGGGTGGGATGTTGATGAAGTCCAGTTAAAATAACATGAAGAAAGCAACAAAAAAAATCTTATTCATCTCATCTTGGAAAACAGACAGAAGTAGTCAGTGAGAGAGAGAAAGGCAAGAAGACAAAAGGGAAGAACAGTAGGGGGAAAAGAGGAAAGGAAAGAGTAACGGAGAGGAGGAGGAATGGAATACCCCACTGCACAGATAATGCAAGCCTGTCCCCTAGGGTACGGTTTAAAAGGGAGGTGGGGGGAGGATGTAAATCAGCTTGCTAAATGACGTCAACTTGTACAATTGTGGATGAAAACCCTAATTCTTGTTTAAGAGACACAATTATGAGACAAGAAGAAGAGGAAAAAATTATCAGTAAATTTCACAAAAACAAACAGAGATGAAAAGCCATTTCTCCCTATTTTCTTCTGAGGATATTTTCATTCTAGCAGAACACTGCCCTGCCCCCCCCCAAAGGAAACAAAACCCCAAGGGCAAAGACCACTGTCTCTAATTGTCTTTTATTAAGCAAGCAATTTCTAGCACTTACTCTTGAGTTCCACACAACGTGCAAACAGAAACTGGTACTGTATTAAGTATTCCTAGGGTGTATTCCTCTTTCCCCTTCCTGGCCCTATTCATATCACAACCTTTTTCTGCTCATCAACTCTATCATTCATCATTATTTTTTAACTCTGCTTTTCAATATCATGCACTCAAATGTGTTCCTTCTCAGCACTCAGGCCTTGGGCTCAACCCACTCATTCTTGAGACTCACCATGGGAAATTAAAAGGGAAACGCTGATGAGGAAAACAATTCCACCACCGGGTTAATATTCCTTCTGAGATCCCTTCTGTCAACTCTGGGTACTGGCATTGAAAAAGATGAAGCTCCTTGGATGTCAGAATCTGTCCAGTCTTAGGCAGAGCAAAAATAAAAACACAACACAAAAGCCATTACTGGTTGTTGCTGAAAAACACTGAATACTTTCTCAGTTTGAGCTAATTAATCATTCAAAGAACCAGGCTTCTTTTTACCTTGATCAGCAGAGGCTGGAGTTTGTCAAATTCTGAGGGTAACTGTGCCAAGATTGGCACCACCTGGAGGCCTGTAAGCACTGCACATCCAGTGCAGTTAGAAGGGATGGTGGAATTGTTCGGGTTGCAGTCTGTTTTCCACCAGTCATCACATTCTAGGTAAGGAAGGAAGAAGGAAGAAATAGGTACAAGGAGATCAACACCTTGTAAAGCCAAAAGTTTCACAAGTGAAAGCCAAATGTATAAAATGCAAATATTTGTTTGAAAGCCAGTGACGTGAAACTTAAGCCCAGGCGAGCTGTCAGGAGCAGGTGACATTGGTACAGGGCACTGCTTTCCAACCTTTTCCATTATGTGATGAGCCTACAAACTTCTCAAAGTGGGAAAGTGAAAGGGCATAACTCCATGTGAATATGCATAGGAAGAAAGACTATGATAAGAGAAGAAAGGGGCAGCTAGGTAGCGCAGTTGATAGAGTACTAGCCCTGGATTCAGGAGGACTTGAATTCAAATCCGGCCTCAGACACATGAACACTTACTAGCTGTGTGACCCTGGGCAAGTCACTTAACCTCATTGCCTAGCCAAAAATGAATAAATAAATAAATAAATAAAAAATATAAGAGGAGAAATCATGAAAGAACAGAAAGAAGATGGAGAGAAAATAGATTTAATTTACTAAAAACTTTTTGAGGATGGAACTTCTCGGCAAAGTGAGGTACAGTACAGTTGGTTAGACAAGAAGCCAGTTCACTGACAGCTAGCAGACCATACTTTAAGAACCACTGCCTCTCAATTCAGATCAAAAACCATCTTTTCTCCAGCTCATCAGTCCAAACTGGGTCAGAAATGGTGAGAAAACACTCAAACTTTGATGAAAGTAGTCATTTTTCTAAAGCTACTTCCTTGGCAAGTAATCATCGACATCCCTTGCTCTGAGGTTGTACACCTTTCCAAGATAATTCATCTGACCTTGCAAAGGCCTCACCGGTGTTTTTGTTCCTAATGTCAAACAGTTTTGTTTATCATGTCCTATTATTTTTGCCTATTTTTGTTCCATTCTAAGGTTCCTTGGTATTTTCTGAAGAATGTATGTAATTTGCAATGTAATTTTTAAATTAAAATATAATTCAGGTCCAAAACCCTTCAAAAGATGGTCTCATTAAAACCCAATGAAACAGGGGGAACATTAAGAACAAAAGATAACAGTAAGTCAAATCTGAGTGATCTTAATCCCGTTCTTAATTAATTAGCATGTGTTTAGCCTTTCTCACCTCCAAAACATTTTCTGAAGTCTAAAACTATAAGGCAGCAAATACTTTATTCTTTTTGCCTCCTTTCCAATAATAGTCAGTATTCAATAAATATCTGTTAACTAACACACAATCTGAATAATATTGCTTTTAAACTGTTCTGCTAGAACCTCCTAGGTCTCCTGGGGATAGTATCCCTATTCTCCTATGTCTTTCCAGCATGTCCTAAACTTTGGGCAGAACTCATAAGGTCCCAAACTCCACAATGCCAATATCTTCTCTAATCAAACAGCCTTTCTTTTCACAACACCAGTAATGTCTAATACCTTCCTTTCAGGGCAGAAACTTGAGGGAGACGACTTTGGTCCACTCAAAGCAGGTATGTCAACTAAATGCCTAGAAAGATACTTCAGCAACTGTAATCTTCCCTGGTTTCTCCCTCCACCATGCCTTTGTCCACATTGTACTCTATGCCTGGAATAGGATGGCTATGCCTTATTACACTTTTGCCTAATGAAATGTTTCCCTTCCTTTAGGGCCCAGCTGAAGTATCACTTTCTCAAGAAAGCCTAGCTGCACCTGATACTTCCAGCTAGAAATTATCTCTACTTCCAATCTCATATAACTTGGACTTCTGTTTTGCACTTAACTCTTTCTTATTTGTATTAACTTATTTATGTGCATCTCTTATCTCTTCTATCAGAAGGTAAACCAAGTAAAGGCAGGGGCCATGGCTTACTTACCTTTGTATTCCCTCAGTAGAGGCTGCTGGGTGTATTAGATAGAAAGTAAGCCTCGAAAACTAGGATCAAGTCACGCCTCTGCCACCCAACAATAACAAGGATGATGATACTAGCAATTATATGGCACCTACTATGTGCCAGCTACAATGGGCAACCAGATGGCACAGTGGATACAGTACAGAAGATTCAGGAAGATTCCAGACCCTTACCAGCCGTGTGACCCTGGGAGGCAAGTCACCATCTGCCCCAGTAAAACTAACTAGAGAAGGAAATGTCAAACCACTCCAGTATCTCTGCCAAGAAAATCCCAAAGAGGTCATGAAAAGCTGGACATGACTGAAAAGCGACCGACAACAATTATGTGCCAGGCACTATGCTAAACACTTTACAAATTGTATATCATTTGATCCCCATGACAACCCTGGGAGGTAAGGGCTATTATTATCCCCATTTTACAGGTGAGGAAACTGAGGTAAAGAGCAGTTAGGGGTTACACAGCTAGTAAGTATCTGAGGTCAAATTTGATCTCAGGTCTTCCTGACTCCAGGCCCAGCACTATTAGCTGCCATGTGCATATCTTATGTGGCAAGTTACTTAACCTCTCAATGCCGTGGGCAACTCTTTAAGACTTTTTTGTTGAATGTGCCAACTTGCCCTGGCAGAGAGTTCCTTTGCCATAAAGTATCCATTACACGATAGATCCAGTTGCTCTCCCTATCGTGTCACAGTACTTGGCACACTGTGAGCAGGCACTTAATGAGTGAGGACTTGAATCCCAGATGATATTCTCGGTTCTATGCCAGACCAAAGATGAAAGTTATTTCTTTTTTTCTGAATCTTCCCACATGCCTCTATGGCCATGTCACTGAATTCTTGTCAAAATAAAAAAATATAATCTGAAAGATATATAATAACGTACATCTGGGAAGACTCCAGAAAAAGGAACATTGCTGATGCCATACATTGGTTGATGGTTTCCTTCCTGTATTTAATGTGAAGCAGGTTTGTACTATGTGTACATCAACCTTCAAGAACCAACCACTTGATTTTCATGCAAACATATCTGTAATTGTCTTCGCCATATGTAATATTTCTTTTTTTTTTTTTTAATGGTTAGGCAATGGGGTTAAGTGACTTGCCCAGGGTCACACAGCTAGCAAGGGTTATGTATCTGAGGCCGAATTTGAACTCAGGTCCTCCTGAATCCAGAGCCAGTGCTCTATCCACTGCACCACCTAGCTGCCCCCGTATGTAATACATTTCTGAGGCAACCATAAGATTCAGTTATATTTTGTTACCATGGTTTTAAAAAAAACTCTACCACAAAAACACTTCATCATCTCTTTTCCTTCCTGATCAAAAGTTTTATCCTGGGGGCAGTTAGGTGGCTTAGTGGATACAACACTGGCCCTCAGAGGCAGGAGGACTTGAGTTCAAATCGAGCTTCAGACACTTGACACTTACTAGCTGTGTGACCCTGGGCAAGTCACTTAATCCTGACTGCCTTAAAAAAAAATGAGAAAGGTGTTTTTGGATACAAGATAGAAAATACATTTTTAGACATGGCCACTCTGTGGATTTGATTGTTACAACTCTCCATCCTACTCCCCCTATCCCCCTTCCCCCCTCCCTTTTTCTGTTCTTAATTGGGAGGAAGAAAGGTAGATTAATGAAAGATAGAGTCAGTAATAACATGGTAATAGTAAAAATGATGTCTTAAAGGGCCATAGTAATGTTTTATGTAAATTCACACAAGGGAAGTTCAACTATTAACATGATAAGCAGAACTGTTTTGAAATGAAAATTTAGAATTATATACCTAAAGCAAGTGGTATGAAGTAGAATTCATAGTTTCATATACAGTCCTACTATTTTTGCATGTTTTGATTTATGTATGGACATTCTCTTTATGGTGTTTAAACTTTGTAATTAATAAAAAAAAGTCATAATTCAAAAAAATAAGTTTTACCCTGAACAATATAGTCACACTATATTCTAAGGGATAGATATAATTCAAATGGAGGTTAAATGTTGCTATCAAAGTACCCTCTAGTCTAATTATACAGGTCCAGCCACCACTAGTTTAGTGGTCACAGTAACTCTTTTAATAGAGATTTATTCCCCACATGCGGTGCTAGGCATTTCAGAGACACAGAGATAATGAAAACATGGTCGCTAACCTCAGGGGTTTCATATTACAAACATGAAACTGATATGTTTAGTCACATAAGTTAGTTTCAAACAATGTAGAGAAGTGGAAAGATTACTGGATTGTGAACCAGGAGGCTCAGATTCTAGTCCTGGTCCTGCCTCTGACCAGCAATTTGATCCTGAGCAAGTCATTTTCCCCACTGAGCTTCAGTTTTCTCATCTGTAAAGTGAAAAGGTTTGCCTAGATGACTTCTGAGGAAGCTTACAATAACAAAATCCTGACTCCAAGCTATTTTCTTGTGGTAGCTGTTAAAAATGTAGAACATGGAAACCACACAAAATAATGAAAATGTGTGCATTGTAAATTTAAAGTCTAAATTTTGACCTTGGTGAAGTAACCAGCAGTCTTATGAGAAAAAGGGTCTATGTGCTTTCTTTCAGTAAAAGCTCTGACTATACCGGCTCCCGGGCATCAAGAAAATTGGGTGTTTGTCCTGCTCTGCCACTACTTTGTGGACCTGAGTTCCACTATTTATTAAAATAAAAGGGTTGGACAGAATGGTCTCTAAGGGCTCTTTCATCTAATATTCTATGATTCTGATATGCTTTTAAGCCAAATATAAATGGCTAGCTAATGTTAAACAGTTCTCTTGACCCAAGTTCATCTCCCTCCATTTCTTTTCTCTCCTTTTCCATCCTTCTCTTTCTAGCTTCAGTTCTTTACAACAGCCTTCACCCCCCCCAATTTTTCTCTTTCCCTTCTGCTGTCCACATGTTTTTTCTCTTTTATTCTCTTTGCTGCTCTCTTTTCCACCTTCTCTCCTTCCCTTACCACATACTTACTTTTCTCATCTTACTTGGCAATGCCTTCCCTCTAGCTCAGGCCCTTATCACTTCTAATAGGCCAAAAGCCTTGTAATTGGTTTCCCTGCCTCAACTCTCTCCCTTCTCCAATTCGTCCTCCATACAGGTGTCAATGTGATTTTCTTAAAGCATAGGTCTGATCATGT